TTTAACAGTGTTTAAAGGTAAGAGTTGAGTCAAATCATCAATTCTTACACTGTGGCCGAATATCTATGAAGGCCATTATATGTATTATTTTCTATTAAAACTTTAAAGCTGCTTGAATAGCTATGTGTGATGGAAAGGAAATATGGTTTCTCAAAAATATGCATGTTATCCTCCAGAGCCAATGTTATCAGCCATGACAAATGGGCTGAGGTATTCACCTTGGCGCCGGGACAGCTTTTATTCACACCTGTTTCTGATGTGAAAACTCCGCTGCAGACGAAAGAGCATCATGAAACTGCCTGTCCCTGCTTTTGTTTGCATGTGTTATTAAACATTTTAGGACTAGTAAGAGTAACTGATGTCCTAAATAGTAAGCGGTATGGATGTTATAAAAGGTCTTTCCATCTTCTTGCATTCTAACTTCACCCGTTCAGGCTTGGTCTGTCTTTAGATACTTTACAAAGAGCCAGTCCAATTAAAGGAGTGGCCAAAATTGTTTTCACCTGCAAAATTTAGCCTAGGCAAGCAAGTGGAAGGAGTAGCATGTATTTTCCTTTGACTAATGTCGCATTCAGATAAGAAATAAGTTCCCTTGCTATGAATTTTTAGTTAAAACAAATAAGCATTTTAACTGAGATTTTTGTTCTTTGTGGTTCAAAATATGAACTGGAACAAAATGGTAGGGTAAAAAAAACTTTTAAATTAAAAAAATCTTGATTACAGTTTCACTTTTTACATATGGAGATACCCAAAGTGAAAACTTATCATTTCATCCAGTTTTATCTGGATGGTGTCTAGAGGAAAGCCACAAAAATAAGTGCAGAAAGCTGAAGTCATTACACATGGAGGAAAATGCATGATTTACATATAATTCTGCATATATAAGCTATATACATGTGTATACAATATGCATACATGTATAATAGCACTATGTATCTGTACGCAATTGCCAAATTTACATGTGTTATTGCTCTGATTACTCTTAAAGGACTGTAAATACATTAGAAAGAACATGTATGCAATGAATTTAGTTAAAGGTCTATGCTGTTCACCTGAAGTTTCATAGTTGAGGGATTTGAGCTGAGTCAGCTACAAATGCGTGTGTTCAATCACTTGAGTTGTAAAGTCCCTTATGTCATCATTTCCCCACGTTGTCCTTGATCGTCAGGGTCATGCATGCCTCATTCTGTGGGGGATTTCATGGGCTTTTCCTCCATCAAGGTCATTTCAGAGAAGTACGAAACTTGTTCACATTATTCACGTGGACAATGAAATTGGCAAAGGATAGATCCATGCGAATATTGACTGTACACTGAATGGGGCTAACGCTGTATTAGGATTGCTGAGGAGCATCCTTCTGCATCAGCATTGGGACTTTCAGAACCCTAGACTCAAGTTCTCATGAGATGATAAGGCTTTACAGCTAAAATTTCCAAGTTAAAAAAAGGAAGATTCCAAATCAGTCATTAAACTTTCTCTGTTAATTTCTTTCTGAACTTTTATTTAAAATATCATATTCATCACCCTATTTCTAAATAATTTTGCAATTTGATGAAATAATATCTTTCTAGTAAAAATATAAAACAACTACATAAATAATACCGTATACTGATATATAACATTTGGAAACTATTCTGAATTTAACTGCTCATCTGCCACCATTGTGCCCAAATCAAGTCAGAGTTGAAAAGATATCACAATGCATTTGCAATTTCCAAACACTGTGATTGTATTTACTGAGAAAATAGTAATGAATAAAAGCAAAAAATCTGTCAGATCTTGGTGGATCCCTGTAGTAGAACATTGCTTTCAAGGGAATTCGTCATCTACTTAGGAAAAGAAAAATAAGCAAATTGCTCCAATAAGAAACACAAAACAGTTGCTAATCCATCCTCATACTAATATCCAGGGAATTTAATGGAAATAATGTCTATTGTTGCAAACTAAATTAGTTTAATGTAGTCTTAATTTTATCATTAACTTAGTTTTAATGCAAAACTTGAAGTAGCTGAGTCAGGGCATAGAAAACTCCATGAAAGCAAATTATTGTCCTCTTAAATATAAAATTTCATTCTTACATGAATTTGTTTTCACTATATAACAAATTTTTTTCTTCATTCAAGGTTGAAATTTAAGATAAGACAGTCCTATTTAAATATTCAATAAAATACAAATATTACATTTATCAAGTTATATTTTCATTTGATAAGGTTTACGGAGACTTGTTTTCCAAATGTCAAAAGCACCAGGGTCCTTAGGGATGACATTGGACCTGATGTATTTAATAGACTGCACTGTGTGAATGAATGGTATTTTAGGAAGATGTTGTTAGTATTTGTAGGATCTACGTATTTTTGCTCTCAGTTTCGCTCAACAAATGATTGATAAGGAAGAACCAGAAGGTTAATAGTGACTTTAGTTTACAACAGTGTTAATAATCACTGTAGATATTTTCCCCAAATCCTGTTGTGAAGCCTGTAGGAACAGTATTGTCATTTTATTCCAAAAAAAAGGAAAACAAACAAAAACGTGAACACTGTAAATAAGGAAAGATGATCGGAAAGACTATGGAAGGTGAGATGTCCAGCGAAGGTAGGCTGTAGGACAGTTTGAAACCATGTCATCTCTTTTATAAGGGGTTCAACTCTCCTGAGGAAGGAAAGCTTCATTTCGATATTGTACATAAAGAGAAAATAATTAGTTTTTATAGACTTTCTGAAAGAACTCCCAAATAGACTGAACAGCTGAGGACAGAAGTTACAGATGCCATTATATCAAATGCAAAGAAGCCCTGAAAAGTGCGTTTTTTAAAATATTTATGTACTTGTGTATTTTATCTGTATGCACATCTACATGTAGTTTCAATGATTATATAAACATGTTCTAGAATTCACTTTTCCTCATTATTTAATACAATGTCTTAATGTTTATACCACAAAGCTTTAGAAACTTGTGGTTTTATCCCTTTTTTTTGTGGGAAAATAATGTAATGTAAGGCCTCCGCGACACTCGTGGTGAATTACATTCAGCATGTGGTGATCATTTCTAAGGGCAGCTTGAAGGAACAGTAGCTTCTCTACAACTCGGTAGTGGGTGCGTCTGGATATCGCTGGGGCTCTGCTGCCCTCTACTGGCCAGCCTGAGTAAGTGCCTTTCTACTCCTGTCTTGCGTCCTAAATTTCGATTTTCTTTGGTTTTGCTCACGTATAAATGGATCATAACTTAAAAGTATCTTCAAATTAACTTTGAAACATTTTCTAATTCAGTACAGAAAAAGAAAACTTAATTAGTATCATACGTCTTAGTTCAAGCATTTCTGGGTTCATTTGCTGTGGAGAGATTGGGAAAGCAGTGTCCAAACGTAAAAATGACAACTTTCGCAGATGAACAGATATTCCACAGTTCCATTTATCCCCGGCTTTTCTGGGACCGTGCCTGTGCGTGGAGAGTGTGGTGCTACCTAAGCTGCTGATGGATCTAATTTTAGGGTTCGTTGTTATTTAAAGGAGAGCTATTTCGTTTCTCTGTTCCTTCATGCCGTCTCCTGTCTTGAAACACAAGGATGCTCAGTAATCTTACCCAGAATAACCCTGCGTCTCCTCACTTCAGCCCCTTTCTTTCTTCCCAGTCACACCCCACCTATGGAGCAGTGCCTCACTGGGAAACCGAATTTGAAATGTTTATAACCCAGGAAAAAAATGAACTATAGATTAGCATATCCAAGCTCCAATTTAATCCTGATATGGGATATGAATAATCTATAATAAGATTGGTCAATATCACAGTGCATCAAACTTGTTAATCAATTAGCTTTCTGTATATCAAGTAAAATAAATATTTTTTAAATGGGAATACGAAAGGCATGGCATAGCTGAAGTTTAAATTCAAGCTTTGTATCGTCTATATATAATGTATTATGTTTTTCAAAAACTTTTTATTAGGAAAGCTATACCAGACGCATAATCACTATACAATGATTAAACATTACCTTTACAATTTATAATCACTGAAATTACAGAATAAATATATGCACATTTCTTTTGAATCTTTGTGTGTGAGAGAGAGAAAACATTAAAAGTGCTTCCTACAAAGCTGTTAGTGATATATACCCAGTTGCTTTTTTATTTTTTTAATATCATATATATATATAAGAAAGTGCAGATGTTCTCAAAAAATCTTGGCATCAGGATGAAATGTCACAAGGAGGGTGCTCATCCCTAGGTGTGTCTCCAGCTGTTAAACCAACAAGCCTTCACTTCAGTAGGATCCAGCCTCGAATGTGACTCTTCCCAGGGTGGTAGGAGAGATGCTGTGAACTGTACACTAGGAAGGAAGGGCATGTGGACCTATAGAGAGGAAAAGATGGATCAAACCCGAACTAAGCAGATCAAGTCGTATGGGAGGTGTGTGTGTGTGTGTGTGTGTGTGTGTGTGTGTGTGTGTGTGTGTGCGTGCGCGCACGTGCTGCACCCAGTGCAGACTGAGGGACCTAAGTGTATGTAGAGGTTTTCTGTGTGCATATGAGTAAGTGTGTGAGAGACGACAGTGTGAGAACATTCGAGCAAGACCCGCCCCTCCCTCCCCAGCCTGCAGTTTTGAAGCATGCGGCAAACTGCATTGTTAATACATGTACAGAATCTGTGCCACGATGGGAAAAAGGAGAGAAAGCCATAAATGTCAGCCTCCCCCCTCCCTTTCAAACAAAAACTGCAACTAAAGGGAAGAAAAGTTACTGAAAATAAAAGGACACATTGAATTTTACTCAATTAGGATCAATACAACGATCCCCGATATACCTCACACATGGCACAGTCCAAGTCTCGAGTTTCAGTATAAAAAATAATGATAACATTTGCTGGCAAAAGTCTGCGAAGGCACTTCATTGATTAATGATCTGAGTATGGCCCTTCCTCAAAAATCACATCTGAGAGGGGAGAGCCCACTTCTGTATTCTCTAGTTATCATGCGTTTCAGTTCTGTCCTGGGCAGGCGGGAACTGTGAGGTGGAGTTACCGGGACAAATATAATGGGAGCCGGGGATATATTTCTTTATTTTCCTTTTCTTTTGAAAACCAAGACCAAGCCACCCTTTTATTCTCTTCTCTCTGTTAGAATCTGTATGCTGTCTTCTCCAGAACTTCGAGGTAATCCGGCTTAGTTTGAAGTTTGGCCCTTAAGTCGAGGTAATCACTTTTGGGGGTTTGGTGGTCTGTGAAGCCCTTTCCAGCTGAGAAGAGAAGGGTTTCTTTGAGCCTGGCATCCTGCTGTAAGTCTGGATATTGCATGCCAGGGGGGTGGACATGGAGTTCCTTTAATTTGGGCACTGTGCCATAGAGACAGTCCACAAATCCCACTGTGCACGGAGCAGGCTGTGGCCTCTCACGGTCTAGTAACAGACTGCCACCCACACAACCTCCCCCAGGGGGAAACAGCACCACCCCACCATTCTTCTCGTGGTGGCGGAACCCAGCCAAGTCTCCCCCAGTCCCTCCACCTACCCCTGAGACCCCACCGACTGCCGAGTGGTGAGGATGAGGGTGGTGATGGTTCACCGTCACTATGGTGTTGAGTTGGGAGTTGGAAACCGCCAGGGCCCACTCCTTCTCCTTTTCCAGCAAGGTCCGGTAGTTGTTGTGATTCTCCTTGGGTGTTTCCGCAAACTGCTCACTTCCTAAGAGCACCTCACCCATTCCTGGAGGTTGCGTCGTTCCAGGACATCCACGTTCCGCAGCTCCTGTTTCCTGGGTTGCTGAGGCAGCCACTTCTTCCTCCTCTCGAGGCTTGTAGATGGGGTTGTTGCACATCTGGGTAACTGGGTGGGGGATGTACTCATACACGTGACCCACGGGAGGGGCTTTCTCTGGAGAGGACAGAGTTGGTCGACCTCCACCTCCATTCCCACCGCCACTGCCCCCAGTGTCCTCGAACAGTCGGTGACATTGCATCTGGATTCCTGTAAGGTCCACACCTTCCTGCCGCTTGCTTCTAAAGGGCAGCTTCTTCCTACGGCGACGGAGCACATAGGCAAAGAGGCCTGCAGCAACAAAGACCGCTGAGAAAAATAGAACCAGCAGACTGAGAATCAACACAGAAAGTGGTACAGGGCCCCCGGGAGGAGAGAACTCATACGGTGATGAACTTGTTGGTGCTCCATTCGGGTGGTAATCTCCAGGCTGTGGTGGGGATGGTCCAGGCGGTGCGATATGCAGCATCTCTGGGCATAGAACTTCCAGCTCAATAGTGCGCACGTCACGGTGGGTGAGGTTCTCGGGGGTCCTACACAGTACATCACCTACCACGCTGACTGAGCTGATGGTTTCGATCCACTGTTTAAAGGGGACCAGGTCACAAGTGCAGTCCCAAGGATTCTCATTGAGATCTATCTGCACTATGGCATTCAAGTGTTCAAGGACGCCAGCTACTGGCAGATAGAGGAAGTAGTTCTTCCGCAAGTTGAGCCGAGCTAGGGATGTACCTGCAAAGGCATCGGTTGGCAGGGTCCTCAGCAAGTTATTGTTGAGAAATAGCAGCTTCAAGTTGGGCATGAGGCTGAAGGCTGCAGGTTGGATTTCCCGGATGACATTGAATTCGAAGTACAAGTAATGCAAGCTCTGTAGACCTCGGAACATACCTGGTGTCAGCTTCTCTATGTCGTTGCCATTGAGAAAGAGACTCTTCAGGTTGGGCAGGTTGATGAAAGCCCCATCCTGGACATAGGAAATACGGTTGTTCCCCAGGTGCAAGAGATCCAAAGAAGAAAAATTCCAAAAATCAGAGCGGTATATCTTTTGAATCAGATTGCTGCTCAGGTAGAGCTTCTTAGCATTCAAGGGCCTTGGAAGGAGCTCTGAGATGTTGTTAAATCCTCGTTCTTTGCAGTTGACAGTCAAGCCAAGGTCATTGATATGCAAATTACACGTACAGCCAGTTGGACAGATAATGGGAATAGGCGGCCTGGTCTGATAGGGGGCAATGGGAGGTTGATTTGGACCAGGGTATAAAGCCTGGGATGTAGATGGTGGTCTGGGTGTTCGGGGCTGTTTGGTGGGTTTTGGCAGCTTGTTGGAGGACTTATATTCAACAGAAGAAGCTGTAAAATGAACAGAGGACAACATTGAAGAAGGTTTCGTTGGCCAGGCGTTCTCTTTGCTTGATGGCAAGTGGGGAATCCCTAGACTGGCCTCCACCTCAGAGTCAGACAACAACGGACAGAGCTCTGTCTTCTTGATTTCTCGGAGATCCTTCCCGTGGAAATGGAAAGGCGTCTCACAGGTGATGTCCCCCACCAGGGCCGTGTACGGGATCCGCTCCAGCCAACTCTTCAGCTGAACAATCTCACAGGTGCAGTTCCAAGGGTTCTCTTCTAGCTGGAGCTCCATCAGGCTCCTGCCAATGTGATCGAGCATTCCGCGGTAGAAGAGGACCTTTAACCTGTTTCCACGTAAATCCAGATGGGTTAAGGAGACAGCCTTAAATAAATTGGTTGGAAGAACAGGAATGAGATTATCATTTAAGATTAGAACCCTCAATTTACTTAGGTTCCGAAATGCCCCGCTCTCTATACGTTTAATGACATTGTAATCTGCCTGCAGGTATTCCAAACTTTCTAAGCCAAGGAAGGTGTCATTTCTGAAGACATCTAGTTTGTTCTCATGAAGATATAGTCTCTTTAAAATCTTAAGACCATTAAAAGCGCCAGTTTGAATGTCCTGCAATGCATTGTTCCCAAGGTTAATGGACACAGCATTATTTAAATGAAGGAAACTATTGGTGTACAATTTCCGCATGGAATTCCTCTGAAGATACAGTTTAAAGGGTCTTGACCAGAACTCAGTAATCTGACTAATGTTTGTAAATCCTTTGCTGTCACAATGTATGTGGAAGAGGCTTTCTTTAACTTCGCAGTAGCACGGATCAAAACAGGGCTCATCTATTTCCTCTGAGTCCTCAATCAGGGGGATTGGAGTAGTCCATCCTAGAGCGATTGTGCTTAGAAGAATTATCCACAGCATCCTCCCTCTGTGAAGCATCTCAGCTATGGACGGCTTCATCATTCGTGGCTGATTACAAAACTGCAACACAAATAAAGATGCAGATTTTTAGCTTTTTTTGTACTACTCGATTGGACTCCTACAATTGGGTTATTTATTAAACAACAACAACAACAAGGGTGGTTTGAAAACCTCAGCAGCTCCTGAACTGATGTTCCAAATGAGGCAGCACCAAGCTTGATGTTTAAGGTGTTCCCTGTATTTTCAGTTTAAGAGACTGACATATTGTAACATACAGTGACATTTTCCTGAACCAAGCCCTGTTATGTGTTATGTGTTATGTGACCCGAGCAAAAGCAACTTGCACTGACTTCCTCTTATAAAAACTACACAATCGGAAACTTGACTCGGCCTTGGCATAGGCAGATTCAGCCATAAAGGCAATGGCTTAGTCATTTTCCTTGCTTTCCTCTGTAAACTAAGATTTGTCATTTCAAATCTTATGGGAAGTCATAGGAAAAGGGGTGTTCTTCAAACTGTACAATTCAATATTCAAAATCAAACATGCTATCACCCAAAGATATTAGAGTATGAAAAAAAGGCAAACCTATTGCCTAATATCAGGTGCTGAGATGTAAAAGACTGCAATGAAAAACTTAAGGTTTCTTTTAAGGAACCATGAAAAGCTACTTAATCACCATGTGTGCTCAATTCCATCCTCAAACGCCAACCCTTTTTGCCCAAGCACAGAAAATATAAGTATCCTTTAGTGAAATAAATAATTTCTACATATCTTCTCATTTGACTGTTTAAAGCATTAGGAGTGATGAGATCTCTGAAGAATTAGGCCTGTGCAATTCTCAGAGCTAAAGATAGTGGTAGTTCAAGGTGGCTAAGCCTGGGAGTGTCAGAGGCAAAGCACTTGCAAGAGCTTAGTTTGGAGTGAGTCTGTGCTTTGGGGAATCATCTCAGGAACCATAAAAAGCTGTAAGGGGACTGGAGCCGCTCAGAAAAGAAGTAGGTAGTTAAAGGTTATAATGGGTGAGAATCTCAATTCTTGCTGATAAATTTTCTGGCTTCTGAAAACACTTTAGAAAAGACATTTACTTTTCCGATGAGAAGACATGAATCTGGTGCCCTATTCTGGGAACATACGGTGCCTCCTGCAAAGGTTCTCTTGCGTTGCTTAGTGCCCTCCCTCAGCATATGAAAATGTGTATAGAAACACAACAAAAGGTTCCACTCTTATTACATTGTCCTTCCCAAGTCAGTGAATTGTCAATGGAATTTAAATATTTATTTAATCAATAAAAATAAATCAAAGTCTCTAACATATGGTTGCTCCCACCTATAATATGTATATCAAGGAAATATTCCTTAACTTGGAATCCAAGGAATACAAGCAGATAATTTATAGGGAAAGGGGGAAGACACTATCTTTGCTTTCCATTGGCATAGCATGAACACAGCTGCAAGGAGAAACTCTTGAGAAAGCAAAGTGGAATCTGCCTCCGGCATGTAATAGTCAATTTTTAGAAACAATTAAATGAAAAGGAGAAAGCAGATGAGGGCGCATAGCAGTATCACTTGGTCTTCCCTAGGCTTCCTTGTAAAAATGTTAGAATCTACTTACGTTCCTCCTCATCCTTTCTAGAAAATGCTTTTTCTTGGTTTTCACACCTCTGGGCTTTAGACAACCAGGCTGCAGGCGTCTTTGACTTACCTATTTTGCAGGAGGTTTGCATTTTTGTTTTTAATTTTTTGTTTCTCAGCACTGACTATGGAAAAGAACTTAAAAAAAAAAAAAACAGCAACAAAAACAAAGCTTGAGTTTAAGGTGTCTGTCTTATCCAGTCTAGTCTTGCTGAAGCTAGGGGGCTAGAGAGGAGGGGAGGAGGCCGTTAAAAAAAAATAAATTAAAAAGCTAGCTTGAGACGTGCAGAGAATGCAATGGGCGCTTCAATGGGCTTCTTTAGGATGCAGGACTGCCGCTTGGCACTCTCAATAGAGGAAGGAGGAGATGAGGCTGCAGCAGGCTTTCCAGCTCCTCTGCTGCTGGGCGCGTCGCCTCCGTGGCTGCTCTCCCGGGTTACCCTACACCATTGGGCACGCAGGGGCGGGGGGTGGGGTGGGGGGAAGAGGATTGGGGGCAGGCTCAATCACAGTGCAAAATTCGGACTTGTTCGGCACTGTATTTTTTACTTGATTTTTTTTTTTAATGCGTGCTGAAAACCGTCCATCACTTCACGTCATGAAAATAATGGGCTTCAGGAAGTGGAACACGCTTAGCCTTGGGTAGGAAGCAAGCACTAAGGCGCCCTGACTATATACTTGTGTGTGTGTTTGTGTGTGTGTGTGTGTGTGTGTGTGTGTGCACGTGCGCGCGCATAGACGTGTGCGCGCAAGAGAGCATGAAAGGGAGCTAAAAGAAGTAAAGCATTCAAGAGAATAAATGTTCAGAAAAACAAAGCAAAATCGAGAAAGGGGAAGAGAGCACCCGAGAGAAACATTCCTTTGGAGGAAGGGCCTGGGGCAGAGGTTGAGAGGAGTACCTTCCTCTGGACCTTTGCTTTCTAGTTCTCATCTCCAGTGCAAAGGCTGTGGAAAGTGAAACCCTCTTTGGGATGGGTTTCTCTTTTCACCGAGCTCCGCTCAGAGGCTATGAGGGGCTAGATACCCACAGCCCGCAGGTGGAAGAGCCCAGTCTGGCTGGCTCTCTCTGGCTGGGTGTCCCAAATAAGAGCTCAACCATCCTCGGATAGTTGGACTGACTTTCTCCTGCATTTTGCTTCGATCCCTTTGCACCAGAATCATTTTGTTGCTACCCGAAGCCTTCGATTTCCTTTGGACCCAACAGCCATGCATTTCCTTCCAACTTTCTACTTTTCCTTCCTCTTTTCTTTCCTTTTTTTTCTTTCCTTCCTTCCATCCTTTCTTCATTCTTTCATTCCTTCCCAGCTTTTTTCTCTCCATCCCTCCATCCCTTCCTCCCTATCTCTCCCTCTCCTTTTCTTCCTCCTTCCTTCCTACCCTTTCTCTCTATCCCCCCCTCCTCCCCAAGTAGGGGGATGAAGAACCTTGAATAGCAATGGGACCATTGACACTCTTCTGGAAGACCTCAAGGGAGGGAGATTTTTGGCATTGGATGTCTCCTCTTTTAGTTACTCCTGCTGAACTTGCTCCTCGCCTCTTCCTTCTTCCTTTCCACTTCTCTTTCCTTTCTAATATTCTCTAAAAGTAATAATAATGAGTATCAGGATGAGAGATGATTGAATTGAGGTTTGACAGGGTAGAAGCAAATAGCTCTCTCTCTCCCTCTAAAAGGAGTTTTCAAAGGCCCTATGGGCTAGAAGAAAGCACAACTTGCTGGTGAATCTGGGGAATGTCAAACAAGCAGCAAGAGGATCTGTAAAGCAGGAAGTTTGTAGTTTGTCCAGAATACAGGAACCCCTTCCCCCATCCTGTCACCAATTCCTAGGGGGCGGGGGCTTCCTGACCACTAAATAAATGAACTCCATTGCCAGGGGCTCAAAGTTGGTGGGAGAGAAGATGGATTTCCCTTAAGGCATCTTACAAAATCAAATTGTAAAAAAGGAAGAAGAAGAAGAAGAAGAAGAAGAAGAAGAAGAAGAAGAAGAAGAAGAAGAAGAAGAAGAAGAAGAAGAAGAAGAAGAAGAAAAAGAAGAAAAAAANGGAGGAGGAGGAGGAGAAGAAGAAGAAGAAGAAGAAGAAGAAGAAGAAGAAGAAGAAGAAGAAGAAGAAGAAGAAGAAGAAGAAGAAGAAGAAATGGTGGAGGAGGAGGAGGTGCAGGAGCAGCAGCATGGGTATGAATTTCTTACCAATCTAAAATCTATTTTATCTAGTTCACCAAAGCGTTCCTTAAAAGTCAGTCTAAGATCTAGATGATAGGTTGCCTTAAAAATATCTGTGCTGCTGTCCATTGCCCCACAGTAGCTAAGATTGGAAACAGTGATGACACTCAGTAAGCAGGCAGAAAGACTCTTTAAAATCCTTCACCCTTCACTTCCCAGACCCACCCTTTTCTCAGAGAGGTCTCCACCTGGAAACAAGCTTACACAGAAAGGCTGTACTCAGGACACAGTTCTTTCCACCTCCTTCCCCAGCACCCCCAGCCCAGCACCTTGGTCACCCAACCTGCAAAGGTAGCAGCTGTTCCAGGGATCCTGTGGGAACCTGGGCTCTAGTGGAATGAAAGGGTAATCAGGAGGCTATCCTGGGCTTCCCAATCTCGGGAAATGGCCTCTGCAACCGCGTCCCAGGGGTCTCTGGAACTATAGTGCTAAGTGCTGGACTTTGGCCACATCCTGAAGGCCCTTCCACAAGCTCCCTTTCCTTTATTTTAGCGTTGTATGTCTGAAGAATGCGAAGGGCTCTGAAAGTTAGGGGATGCTGGGCCCTTTGAGCTGGTTTCTTCTGCGTCCTGCTGGGAGCGCCGGCACCATTTATTTGTCCAGAGAAGGACAAGAAGACAAGAAGCTCTTTCTACCCAGCGATTGCCTTTCCCACCTCCCCCTCCTCAGCGCTCCCCCTTCATTCCAGATCTAAGATTAAATATTCCAATATGGAAGCGAAACGATCTCCCTGGAACAAATAATTAAAATGCTGCATCATTCATTTTCTGGAGAGCTATGAGCTTCTATAGAAGCTTTTATAATCTACTGCCGGCAGGCGAGGCACACAACGCATATATATATATATATATATATATATATATATATATATATATCCGTTTTCCTTCTGTCTCTTAAAATACAACCCAGCGCTCCACGGGGTGGGTGGGGGGAGGGTTTCTCCCCTTGGCCACCTGGCCTATATGTTGGAGTTAAGACTTCTTTCCCCTTAAGAAGGGGGGTCTAAGGTTGTATTAGTCTCCAGAAGCCCTTCCTTCACCAATGCCCTTACACCTAACAGATCCAATTCTTTAAAAAAATATTAATAATAATAATAATAATAATAATAAATCCTAGCACCTGTGAGTGTATGGAAGGTCCAGCGGGCAAAGTCTACGCGTTCTACAGCACACATCCTACAAAAGAGGCAAA